AATAAAAACAATTTGTTTCAACTGTCCTCAAGTTGAATTTGCACTAAATTTTCAACTGTCCCTGACTTGAACTTGCCCTAATTAAAATCAATTTGTTATAACTGTCCCTGACTTGAACTTGCTCTAGTTTAAGTTTATATTAAATTAAACATTAAGACAAGGTATCTCTATTATTTTACTATAATCTTGACCCAGTGATAATCCATGATTACTCTTCAACATTGTTGTATGTCCTTAAAATGTAGAGTAGTCTGTATTTATCAGGAAGATTTTTCTGAAGTGCAGATATGATTGATATGTGAGTGATAGGTAGAGATATCTCAACATTCCACAGTAAGATAACCTACTCTTGATATACAATGTACATGATTCACAAGTGTGATAACATTCTTCAGTTTAATATACCATGTACATAGTTTAAAAATGGTTGTTGTGTGAGAAAGTCAACTTTTAATGCAATGTTAATGCTTCACAAGTGTGATAACAACTCTCCTCGGTGAATAAGTCTATATTGTTGATTTACAATATTCACCCACTATCATGAAGTATAAAGATTGTTTTGTTCATGATTATAATAATAATAATAATAATAATAATAAAGGCTTTATTTAACGAGGCTACATATTCGCCAAAACGATCTTCCATATGTACCTCAACATATTTTACAACATATTTACATCAAATAATTATACAAAAGACAATGTAATATTATAAAACATGGTATTAACTAGTTATAAATGCAATGACAAACTAAACATAAATATTAACCATTAACAATGAAAACTGCAGTAAACATAATTATACAAACATAATACTATGGTATTGGTTTAACCAGAGTACTTCCACTTTATGTAAGCTTTTTTGAATTTTTCAGTACTTTCAGACTGACGTACATAAAGTGGTATATTATTCCAGATTTTAGTTCCAGAATAAGAAAGTGATTTACGGTAAAACTCAAGATTAGGTTTAGGGACATGTAGATTAAGATTGTTTGTTGATCTAAGATTTCTGTTATGTAAAGTTGAGATAAAATGAAATTTTTCTTTCATGTAGCATGGTGAGTTTTCTTCATGTAATGATTTGTATATCAGGATTGCCTTTTTGTACTCAACCCTGTCATTAAATTTCATCCATCTTAATTCTTTGAAAAGAGGTTCAGATGGTGCATCTGCAGCTTTATCTAGGATAATGCGAGCTGCTCGTTTTTGAAATTTTAGTATTCTCTCAAGAAGTTCTTTTGAGCAATTTCCCCAAATTGAACAGCAATAGTCTATATGAGGTAATATATAGGCATTATAGAAAAGTTTCCTGGCATGTAAATTGAGATATTGTTTTAACCTTAAAAGAAGATAGAGATTACTATTGCATTTCTTTATTGTTTGTTCTACTTGAAGTTTCCACGTTAGGCAATTGTCAACTTGTACTCCAAGAAGCTTTTCAGATTCAGTGAACTCAATATTATTGTTAAATAATTGAAGTGGTGTACTTGTTGATGCATAAATGTAATGTTGGGTCTTTTTTGAGGCTGATATGTACATAGCTTTAGTTTTGTCTGTATTAGGTATCATAGCACTGTGAGTGCACCATTCTTGAATAGAGTGTAGGTCTTTTTGAAGTTTTACATTTAAAGTTTCAGTGGAACGTCCTGTTGCACTTATTGTAGCATCATCTGCAAACATATCCATTTCTGAGTGTTCAAGATGTAAAGGTAAATCATTTATATAGATCAAGAATAACTTCTGCATATAAGTTTCTAGTAGTTCCTGTTTTCTGGGAAATTAGACAAACTTTCCCACATACTTAGCCACTAAGAAATGTAATTTTTCTAAATACTTCAAACCTGCACAATGTGCAACTGCAATGAAAAGGTATTATCTACGGGAATTTTCTCTTCACGTTTCAAATATATACAAGATATAGGCATTGTTAAAGAAAATATACCAGATGTTGTTTTCTATGCAAATTGAGAAATCATGTTTTTTCTTTACAAAGTAAACATGGGCAAGATTATGTACTTGAAAAGTTGAATAAAGGAGAAGAGAAATGAAGGTGTAGAAAGCGGAAAGTTGTACTGAACTTAAACTGTACTGAAGTTTAGAGATGTACTGGGCTACATCATGCCCTAGTATTCAACCTTAAACATTGCTTGAATACAGTCTAGACATCACACCACTAAGACTCAGTGGTTTCCTGTGAAGTTACAGATTACAGAAGAAATATTTCCGAATATTTCAGCAGATTGTCTTGCACTGATGATAATTTGGTAGAAACCTGCATGTAAGATATGCATCAAACTGATTCAATACCTGATAGTTCTCAACAAATTTTCCATTCACCTTTTTCAAAACTGCTGAAACATACTCCTCTTAAATACACATGAAAATTACTCAGTTGTTTAAAAAAAAAAAACTTGCAAAATTTACTCTCTGTATAAATTTGGTAAAAATATGAATATAACAAAGGCACGGCCTTTTGTGGGGACACTGATAAAGCTTCTTATTCAATCTTAAAACAAAAATACTGGATGACAGACTAACTTAAATACTCCTTTTCCTGTCCTGTCATATTCATTCAAGAAAACATAAATATATATATATATATATTTTTTTTTTTTTTTGGGGGGGGGGGGGGGTGGGCAAGTTAAGTATTCAAATGAAGCTGGGTAAGATGAACATATTCAATGTTTCTAACATCCTGTCACCTGTCACATCAAACATTACCCTTGCTACATTATTGTGTCAACTTAACTTGGCATTTCCCTAACTGACATTTCTTACATAGTTTCACTTCATTGAAAAAAAATGGCCTTGTGAAAATGTGTAGTCTCAAATTCATAAAAACATGTCAACAGTCACATGTCATTGACATGAAAATGTAGCTTTAAACAGACACTGCCAGTAACCACACTAATTTGAGACTATCATTATCCTTCAAATTATAATTTCATAAATAATAAATTAAACTATGAAATATAATTTTTGTACTGCTAACAAAAACTCAATCCCACACTTTCTTTTTTCCTTGCAGTTTTACCTTTTCCAATAGTTACTAAGTAAAGAAACCTTAATGATAAGAGAAGTGATCTTTCATGATTACCTCTGGATAAACCAAGATCAGCCGGACACATGTGAACAAGATCAGCCGGACACATGTGACCAAGATCAGTTGGACACATGTAACCAACATCAGTCGGACACATGTGACCAAGATCAGCCGGACACATGTGACCAAGATCAGTCGGACACATGTGACCAACATCAGTCGGACACATGTGACCAACATCAGTCGGACACATGACTGACCAAGATCAGTTGGACACATGTAACCAACATCAGCCGGACACATGTGACCAAGATCAGCCTGACACATGTGACCAAGATCAGCCTGACACATGTGACCACGCCCAGCCAGACACACAAGACCATGATCAGTCAGACACATGTGACCAAGACCAACTGGACATGTGAACAAATTCAGCAGGACACATGTGACCAAGATAGCCGGACACATGTGACCAAGATCAGCCGGACACATTTTTCATTTGATTCTTATTTTGGTTGGGTTTTACTACACATGGCCTGTACTAGACGGTATTCAGTCTGACAGGTTTCACTAAAAATAATAAATGATTTTGTTCTGATTAAAAAATGGACAAGTCAATTTAAGATATTATTCAGCAGTGTATAAGGATTAAGGATGGTTTCCGCACCATCTATATAAGAGCTGACACTGAATTATGACTGACATCTATGTAATAATGGCTCAGATTTATCATGCTATTCTATCTTGTTACTGAATTTGAATTATTAACGTAACTTTTGTGTTCCATGTATTTCCTCCATTCACAAAATGTTTTTCCTTATTTCAGTTGTATAAACACACTGTTTTAATACATTTTTTGTCATTTTGAAATTTACTCATATATCACATTCAAAGTTCTGTTGATTAGTTTTATAACTTCATAATGTTAGTTTTGCCGGATGTCTTTCCAAAAGAACAACATTTTTTTAAATGAAAACTCATCCATCTAGAAATAAAAGCAATCAACATGTTGAAGTGTGGTTTTTAAGGTATTCGAAATGAACTAATAAATTTTCCTCTATAGGTAAATGATGACTACCTTACAAACATGTTTTTCTAGGACAATTCAACCTTCAATTAAAACACGTGGTTGCATCATCCATTAACTGATATACTGGCTGTAAAAATTCAAGACATGCATGATAATTCATCACAATATAAACCTACATAATGTCTTACCTAAACAATCTATTCTCATTTTAATGAAGATAATAAATCTGAGCCGAGACATTTGGCGGAATGCATAATTACCACGGAAACTGTTTTTGTACATGAAAATTCACAGTTTCAACTCTGAACTTTTTAACTTTTCTCAGTCTACATTATACTGTATAATTTATTCATGTATATATTATAATACATCTCCCATGTGTAGAAAACACAGACTGGAAGGTTGCTAGGAATGATGTCACAGTTTTTGCGAATAATGTCAATTTGCAACTGTTTTGTGCAACAAGGTGATGTAATTTTTACCCTTTCTGCACTTTCTAAAACACTTCAAAACATGCGTCTGCTTCATCCTAATTATCATTATTAAAATAACATCAATATTTGTGCTCACGCCAAACTGCAATAATTTTTTATTCTAAAATATCCCAGAATCTAGACAGCCTTAAAAAATGCTGAGTATTCAGCAAACAGTTACTGTGTTGTTTATATCTTTACATGTTCCACCTTGACAGAATCAACTTTGGTATGCTTGTAAAAATGGGGTTGTCACCTTCAAAGTAGTAATGAATTAACTGCTATTGTATTATATAGGAGTTGGCCCGTTACAGCTTTTAGCGGACAATATACCGATTCTGCTGCCACTGCTGCTAATTTATCAAATTTTGCTGCTCAATCTCATTCAGTTATTAACATGATCTATAAATATAAGGTAAGACTATAAATATTTTAAATGATCAATTAACTCTTACCTTTTTGATAATACTTGGAATTATGGGTCCATCGGAAGCCCGTGCACAATCCAAAGTCTGTAAGTTTGATATGTCCACTTTTGTCAATTAAAATATTATCAGGTTTGATATCCCGATGTATGAACCCCATTTTATGTACACTTTCTATAGCTAGCACTAACTCTGCAATGTAAAATCTTGCAAGAGGTTCTTCAAAAATTCCAAATTTGATCAGTAATCCCATTAAATCCCCACCTGGAATGTAATCCATCACAAAATATAAATTATCGCGATCTTGGAATGAATAGTATAATTTCACTACCCATTCATTGTCAGCTTCAGCAAGAATATCACGCTCAGCTTTCACGTGTGCCACTTGGTTACGTTTATATACATCCATTTTCCGTAAAGTTTTCATTGCATAAAGCTGCATCACGTCTTTTTTACGGACCAAATGCACTTCACCAAAAGCACCAACACCTAACGTTGTTATTCTTTCAAACATGTCTTTGTTCATTTTTGAACGTTTCATTCTGATATAGTTTGATTCTTTCTGCTGTAACATTCTCCGCATCTGAAGCTGAGCTTGATCAGAAAGATTTGCTTTGGCCATTTCTTTCTCCAACTGTAGCTTTCTAGTTTGTCGCTGTGAATAATTCTTCAGCAAGTTTTCAACGTGCTGCTCCATGAAAAATTTATAAGCTTGTGGAGAATAGTTGCGTACCGAAGAGTCTCTACGTAATATTTCTTTTTCCTCAGAATCCGGTTTTCGTTCCGGAATTGGAGAGGTGCAAGTTCTTTTGTTATCTGATGTACTCATGTCCGACGTTGTAGACATTGTTTCAACATCAGTATCATTGTCATTTTGTTCACTTGATGCACCTTCAGTTTCTATAGTTTTTCGAGGTTTCGGTGGGAGTGGGGGTTGAGATTCTTCTTGTTGGCCAGATGGTGGCAGTGGCGGAGGTGGCTTACTTTGGTTAATTGGAATGCGAGGAGGTAACGGAGGCTGATCTTGCTGCATCTGCTGAGGAGGAGGATGTCCTTGTGGTTTTGTTGCCATTCCATGCTGTATAGCTGCCGGTTGTGACCGCACTATCTGGGGCTGCGGAAATCCCATTGTTACAGGGTTCTGAGGAATGGGTTGAACAATTGGTACCGGATTGCCAGGTACAAGGTTATTTGTGAGATTTAATGGTCTGCCTGGACCAGGGTAGGGGGGAGGAGGTCTATCTGGAATGTCAGAGCTTGTTGAAGGGTTTGATGATATTGACATTGGTGATTGATTTGTATTCCGAGAAATAGACATAGGTGAACCTGAGCGTGGTGTTGATATGGGGGTATCATTAGCTTGCTGCATCATTATGTTATGGTCTATATTTGTATAAGGGTATGCATACGGTTGATGATGTTGATTTAACTGTATTTGTATCACAGGTTTATGAACACCATGTCCTCGAAATTGATGTTGATATTGTTCCGGAGTCCTTCTATCAACTCCATTGTATATCAATTGCCCATTATTTGCATCAGTAATTTGAATCTGAAACCCTTTAGGAACATGCTGTTGCTGCTGTACAGGAGAGCTATTTATATGAGTTTCAACTGACGAAATATATTTTGGACCATGCTGCTGCATCAGTGGCGAAATAGGAGTGGTAGCAGTCTGTAAGACTGGTTTCTTTACTTCACGACTGTTAACTTGTTGCATAATGATTGGTGGCTGCCCTGCAGCCCATGCTGGCTGTCCTTGACCCTGCTGTATCTGCATACTCTCCAAGCTATGCTGTTCTAACGAGTGTGAGCTCACCTGAATCTGGTAATTCTGTCGTTGCAGTGGAGACTGGTCAGCCGGGCGTATCAATACAGTGGGTGCTTTCTGCGAAGTACTTTGACCTTGATGGCTATAGGGAGGAGGTGGCTGACGTGGCTGATATTTTATTGTCACATTCTGATGACCTCCTCGGACCTGTACAATATTTTGAGACAACTGTTGTACAGGTTGTTGATGTTGAACAACAGGGGAACTTACAACACGTTGAATATTTGGTGTTGAAGTCTGTATTACTGCACTAGAAACATTCCCTCTACTATGTTCCATATTAAAAGGTGAAAATCCTGGTGAAGAAAATACTGGGACTTTCTGACTTTGACTACTTGCTTGGTAGTTTGGTGTTGACTGAGACACTGTAGGTGTTAATGCACCTTGAGTGGAGTTAAAACTTGCATCATTAGCAGATGACTGGCCATGAAGGTTGCCTGCAGAAACACCCATTGGCAATCGTGGGGGAACTGGTGGAGGGGTCTGTGCTCCGTTCACCATGATTGGAACAGTTGTTGGACTAAGAACACGTGATGCAGTGACTGGAGTCTGACTTCGTGAAGATTGAGGACCTGGTATTCCTCTTGGAAAGCCAGGTACTGAAGACAGACCCGGACTCTCTGACCGAGTACTGGCACTATCAGATCCTGGACTTGCTGTATCAACGCTATTTTTCCGCCGAGGTCGAATATTCAAACCTGAAAGAATACAAGAAAACCATTTTACAACATATGCCAATTAGAGTGAAGTCTTCTTTTTTTTCTTTATTGTTTTTGCTTTAGATACAATGTATTTGTAGTCTTTTGAAAACAAGCCAAGAATTTATATTAAAGTTTGCTCTTTAAATAGAAACAATTCAACAGTATGTCATGACTGTCCTTAATCAATCTGGTTGATATGCTTTTAACCTAGTAAATTATAGCTAGGGTATTATCTCATTCTTGATAAATCATAAAAGTACAGTAGGAAAGTTTTGAAATCTGAACTTATTAAAATTAACGCCTACTTTAACTTCATGCATGTAAAAAATGTTCCAATTTAACAATGTGCTTGTAATTGAACCAATATTTTTACAATTAAAATACTTCTAAAAGCTTCATCTAACTATAACCAAAGACGAAATATTTTTGAACAATGGTATCACTTTAACATCTTATCTTTATCAAATTCAGTGTTCTCAAATTGTTTGTTCAAGGATTAACTTCAATCTGCCTTAAGTACACCTTGCCACTAAATATGTACAAAATACATATCATCTCTAATAAAACACCTCTATATTCAAAACCATGACATACCTTGATTCAAACTGTTTTGGGGTTTAAAATTAAGAAGGAAAACTTTGGTTTTACCTTTTTTGTACAGTTAATTTTTGCACAGTTATAATGAAATGTTTAAAATGTTTCTGCAAAATATAGTACAAACATGAGAAAATTGCAAATTACCGCATGGAAAAGTGGTGTAAAACCCTCCAAATGTTTTTTTTTTTATTTTCTGTCCAATCTGAATTTATTTTCAAAAAGTTGTTAAACAATTCTATGCTTACAATAAATATATTATTTTTCCTCCTTAACTCTTTAAGGCTATTTATACACATTAATTGTAACATTGTATTAAGCAAACCTTAACATAACTTTATCAAAATGATGTCATAATTTTGGTGCATTATAGACAGTTTGAACATATAATTCAATTCTATGCATACCATGTTTTCATGTAATATATACATTTGATACTGGCATGGTTTTATTATTAGGAAAATTATGGTAAATATTTCAATATGTTCACTGCAGTGATATTAAATGACATATTTACTATAACAAATGTGACAGGGGTAACTGATGGTCAACATAGATAGATATCTATTCTTCAATCATATTACTTACACTATTTATAAAACTATATACACAATTTTAACAAAAATTAATGTTCTATTTTTTCAGAGGCTTTTTTTACATTTACAGAATTAAAATGGAGTACACATAACAAAATTATAGAAATGTCTAGTTTAAATTGGAATCCCTCTATTGGCAAGGTTAGACTGCAATGTGCTAGATCTCTATCTTTCATTCTTATTCTTAAAGACTTAACATTCTAATCATTACAAATTTCAGTGTCTACAGATTCCGTTTCAAACTAAAAGTTTGACCACCTTAACTTCATTCAACTTTTTTAAAGTGGGTGACTAAATTCTGGCCACTGTTTACCTACAAGAAGTGCCTTTTATCAATTTTAGTAAGTTCAAATTAACCACAGAGTGTAAAAAGCTTCTAACCAACAGTCTAATTGAAATGCCTTTAATTTGTGTTAAATTTTCTCTGCGGCACACCCTACCTGATCACTTGACCAGAAATTGCCTTCAAGTGGTATTTTTACATGATGATACAATACAAAATTATTTAAATTATCTAAATTATTGCTGGCTACACATAACTGTAACATTGTTGTCATCATGGGTAAGGAATTTTAACATGGAAAGTTTAATCACCTTTATTTCATTCAACTTGCCAGTATGCAGACCACAAACATAACCAGGGATAGCCGCAAACTATTATCTCAGAGACACAACTTCTGGCTTATGTTATTATTAGAAATGAAGCAAGCAGTGCTCTACGGCCAATATAAACAAATTAATAATTTTATCATTAAAATTATCAGACTTTCTAAAGCTTATTTGGTGAAATAAAGCCGGTGATGATCATATCAAATATGACATTTTAACAGTACCTTCTTGACCTGATAAGGTAGATAATTCAATTCATTGTACTTTTTTTAAATTTCATGGAAAACAACATAACATTACTGAAAATTCTTGATATTTTAATTAAAAAACATACATGTATATATAATGTCATTATAATCAGGTCAAATTACCAAACATAAAGTATTAATTGGAAGAATTGTCTTGTCTAGGCATTCAATAAATTTATAAATGTAATTTATTAAGTATAAAACAAAATAGTGCTTTTTTTTAAATGCTACTTATAACAGACACCTGTTTGACTGAAGATTAGACAGCTTTTTATTCATATATACCTTAATTGTTTAAGTCAAGAGAGTCATAATGGCTCAATAATTGGTCACCTAAATGGTTTACATGGACATGATTTCATTCTTTGTCATTTCTATTAATTTTCATTTAAATCTACCAAATGCACGAGGAGATACCATTGCAGACTGTAAGTATTTTAGCAATTTTTGTAAAGTACTATATTGTGTACCAAAGGATAATTCCTTGAGATTTTACTAAAAATTTACCCGGTGCATTAATTTGTTCAGTTGTCTAATTTTAGCTATGGTCACCATATTGTTTAGCAGTTTGAAAGGTTTTATCAATTGAAGACTCTATCATTCTATATCTAAACACCATTTGAGGGGATGTCTTTTACAGATTATCTTTAACTCTGGGGGCCAATGCATGTTCAATAGACTGAAACAATTTTACATACTTTCATAAAGGACCATGATCATACCTGTAGAGTTTCATAAAAATCTGCAGTATGCTTATGGAAGAGATATTACTCAACAGTTTTTTTCTTTCTATTTTTAGCTCTGGTAGCAATCTTGTTTCATTTGAGCAATCCCTGTATTGGCCAAGGAGTGAAGTAAAGGAAATGACAGATGATGGACAAAGGGTGAACCATGATCACATTAGCCACATACAAACCGACAGTATTGATATACCTAGGAAACAAACTAACTTTTAATCTTTACATTTGAACCATAATTATTACCCTAAACAAGTCTTGTAATTCTAACAGAAATTCTTATTATAAATTCTAATCTTCAAAGAAAAGTGTGTTTTTTAAAACTTGGTAAAATGGAACTAAAACGCTCTTGTTTGTAACACTAGATCTACAAACTTTCTTATCAATTGCACAAAAACTATATCAGACTTACTTCATGAATAAAATCTTACCCTTTGACAAGCGTATTCCTTTCTTACGAACTCCTAGCCCCACTTTATTTGAAAATGCATCATTTACCATACTGAGCTTTACTTTAAAGTTTATAAAACTTCAAACAAACAAAAATATAATCATGAAGGAAGTTATCTTAGAACATGCTCTCTTGCTAATGAATTCAATTTCTGATCTAACTGAAATAAAACAAATACCATAAAATTATTCAACTATTGGTCAGCAGTGTTCCATACAGTGAACACAAATATACAGCGGGAGTCGTTAGACTTTTTCCTATTCAATGCACATTACATGCATGTTGAGTAATAAGGCGACAAGTACTGTATTTAAACAGTGTCGTCTTTAACACTCGTATTAAATTTATTGAAAGAAAGTGATTCATCTTCACACATGATCAATACAAGATATTTGTATTTCAATCATCTCATTATAACCTACCAGTTACCCACTTATCTAACGTTAATCAAATTTAGAGAAATACCCACCCAATTTAAATACCTACCCGTTTTAGATATGCCATTTTTGCCGTCAAGTTGCAGCCTGTGAATTGTGTCTATTGGTGTCTCCAATTCTTTGCCGCCAGATATCACCAGGGCTCGTGCTTTTTCCTGTAAAATACAAACGTCCATTGTGAGAGCATACATTACAATTTACATAAAAAACATAGAAAGATTAAGAGGTTCACACCTGGTAATGAATGGAACCTTGAATACAAATGTAGGAATTTAAATATTTAACTTGCTTACAGGAGATATACAGTAAACACTTTCATTCATGTTCGTGAAATCCGACAAGAAGCAACTTGTGTTAATGAGATAAACCTTGATGATAATATATGTGCTTCCCACATACTTTATTCATAAATCATATTCTATATTAAATCAACTAGCTCATTCATTGCAGTTTATGTGTAGGAATATACATCTTCAGCACATGTATTATTATTCTGGTTTCAATTTTTTGTTTTGTTTGGGTTTTACATCGCACCAACTTAGACAAGGTTATAAGGTGACTTTCCAACTGTATTGGTGGAGGAAGACCTCAGATGCCCCTCCGTGCATTATTTCTAGTATTAGCCGGTACCTGGGTAGAACCAATTACATTCTGTAAGCAAGCTGCATGGATAGCTTCCTTCCTCACATGAAAGAAACCAAAGTCAGGGCTTTTGCCCTTCAGCAGTGAGGGCAAGTGGTTTGAAGTCAACAACCATAACCACTCAGCCAAAGACTTCCCAGTCTGGTTTCAATAATCATTAACAAAACAATATTTATTTTTTAAATAAATTTCAAAGTTTTTTTAGAGAGGCAAAAAAATTAAATGGCATAAAGGGTCCAAGCCAAGCTTGTCCATCTTGTGATATCCTTGCTCTGTCATTAACAAATTTACTTTCATTCTAACCTAGATATTGACAGGTATTCATTTAACCTTGACCTTTAATCTTGTCAACCTCCGGAAAAAAATCTGCTTTCCTTGTTTTAAATCATTTTACTTAATCAACTTTTATTAATCACAGAATCACAGTGTCCTTAATCATTTAACCTAAAGGTAACTGTAACAATACTTGACAACTCATGAAAGGCCATTGTCATGACTGTCTCCATTATAAACTGGCAAAATGTACACATAAAGAAAGTTCAACAGCTATTGTTTTCATGGTCAAACAATGAGAGTTATACAGAAGTTGACAAGATCCAGTTAAAACAAATCATCATAATGAAGAGAAATTACTCAGGCTAACACTGTTAACTTTTCTTTGTTTAAACACGGATTATAAAACATTCCAACAAGTTGTTAGCAGTGAAATTATTGATGAGTGAGTAAACAAAGTAAATGCATACTGCATTCCCCATTCAATACATTAACCAATCTATTCCCCAAGTTTCAATAGCTCCTTGAACAAGCATTTGTTGGTACAATATTGCTCTACTCACACTTGAAGAGGGCTAAAACAGCTGTATTATTTGAGAATAATGACTTGGGTGATCAATAGCTTATTGAACTCGACAACTCATCAACAGTAGGACATCATACCCTAGAGGGCTTCAAGAATGTGTCAAATAATGATTTCTCCCATATTTGGAGCCACGTTGGGAGATAATCGAAACCATTATCGGGTAATAAGAACACGCCAATTAATCTGGCAATTGTCAACTGACATTACAAATTGTCATTGAAAGTCAGGTTCAGAATTTTAAGATTATTTTCTACAATTGAAAATATAGCATGTACAATACCAGAAATAACAGCGGGTTATTTAGATACAATATCTTTACACACAATTTGAGCTGGCAAATTAAAATCTGTGTAATACACAAAAGAATCTTAGATATTCGATGATAGGTAATGAATAAGATCAAATAAACTTTAAAAATATCTGCTCATCAACTTGTCTTTTGAAAAATAAATGCATTTTGCTTGTGACAATATCATTCTCTTTCTTTTTAAGCTTAAACTTTTGAGAATTTTTTCTCAAAATGAAAATATTTGAGGTCATGATTTTGAATATTTTTTAATGAAACACCTGTTAAGTTCACTGATTTTTCAGTAAATTAGTAACTGTTTCATGTGGCCATTCTGGGAACATGGTGCTGGGCATCAAGTTTCATTTGTTCAGTTTTCAATTATTTTACTCTATACTATATAATCACAAACGAGTAGAAACTAGAAAGTCAAGAAAAAGAATGAATTTAATAGAATTATTTTTCAAATACCGTATATATTTTTATATGAACAATAAGTCAAGTTTATAAAATCTCACAATAGACATCCTACATGAATATTAATAATGTGTCACTTATTGTACAGAACAATGTATTCTTAACGTTGAACCTTAATAAGCCTATTGATGGCAATGCGATCTGTGAGTGCAGACCAAGATCGCCCGTCTGATCAAACTAGTAGACCAGCTGGCAAATCTGTGCCGTCTGATATGATGGTCTGCACTATTCAGTCAGTACTGTTTTGAAAATATGATGACTGGTTGTTGAGATTGAGAAGTGGACTTATATTTAAGATATTTCGCTTGGTATTAAAGTGTTAAAACAATTAATCTACAGGTAAACAACAAGGTATTTTTGGGACTCCAAATATAGTAACAAGGATTACCTACACACTGAACTAATCACAATGATGCAGAGTGGTAAAATACCACGGTTGCCAGACTCTCAACTTCTTGTTATATGTCTGATACAAACTATGTTGATGTAATAAAGATTGAAAATAATAATGATTTCAATTTCTTACAACTTATACTGTACATGAACAAATAACATGTCATAAATATGGAAGTTATAATCCATGAAAAAAAGGTTTGAAATGATAAATGACGATATTATTTGGAAATTAGCATATTATCACAATACCTGATACAATCAAGGACCTTGGTATGCAAAATCTTTTCTAATCCCATCAAAAAGTTATCAAATACTGCCATAAAAAGTATAAAAATCTACTCACAATTTCACAAAAGTTAAATCCAAGTTTTCGCTTAACAAGGAATGTAACATACGACCTAAGATGGCTGCCAAAAAGTAAACATCATTTGTAAAAAAACAAACATTGCGGAGCTACCTTAAACCTGACATATTACACATTTACTGATAACAAGAGCCGGATCATTAAAATGCTTGGCAGTCCAAGGACTCCAGATACAGGGACATTAATTCTGATTTAACTCATCAATGGAGTAATAAATCATGTATAAATACATGCAGAAATGAAAGCTTGTCCTAGATGATGACAAGTCCCAGTGTAAACCTGACGGGCAAAATACAAACCTTTTTCAGTTGAGTGGGCATCACTCAAATAAATGAAGTTGTGTCAAGCACCTAGGTGATTATGAGGCAGGTGTACATGTTACAATGAATCATCAGTGTATGTTAGAAGCTTATAAAAATAATGTTAAACATAGAAAGGTTTTAAGAAACTCAAGTAAGTTTAGTGAAAAGATTTAACAAGACTGCATAATTTGTTTATCAATTCCGCAACTGAATGACATCATACCGACGTAAATCATGAAAAGCTTTGCACGTTTCACATGACTCTATTATGCAGAATACATCATGTGCCGCGTATTTTCACAGCAGGTTTCTTCGTTATTATAAATTATGTTTACTGACATAATATTATTGTGAAAATGTTTTACAGTATTTTCATTTCTTACTAAAATCTGTTCATACGAGTTTTATGAGAGACTTGAAATCTGTAAATCAGTAAAAACAATATTAATGATCAACATTATCATATCTCAGCAACACCTTGAAAAATACATTATTATTCTAATTAGCCTGTCAGCAGATGGCAGAAAATCATTTTCTGTCAGAACATATGGACATTTTCATCAAGTATTTCAAGTTTATTAAAACAGCAATATATTTCAAGTATTATACCGAGATGTATGCCTCTAGACATGCTAGATGTGTGAGTAAGCCTGCAAAATTATCTTATCTTAATATATTTAAACACTTTAAATTATGTATAAAATATATTTACATTGAGCTTTTTAAGCACAGTATGGGCTGCAAGCTGAACTGTGTTGCTCTTGACAAATTTAATTTTGTAAATTCTAACAAATAAACACTATAAACCTATAATATAGTTACTTTTTCCAAACGTTACGGTAATTATCACCAAAAGGATTGCAATTTCTTAATTAAGTCATGTTCTGTAACACTTAAAATTTTACTGTTTTAATAGATTCATGAAATTTACCACTCTGTATTACCCTGACTCCCTGACATCTCATGACCTTGACCTTACACTGATGGACATAGCTCTTGTGATTCATCAAAATCATTCATGTCATATTTTGCGGTGTGCTATTTACATAATTATGTTTTGAATACATTATTCAACTTACAGACATACCTACATCATAATTTATATATTACTGAAGAAAAATGTAAATCTAAACTGCTATAAATAGTATCTTATGAAATACTTATCTATACAGTAGGTTATCTTACTTGTATGTTTAATATTTATATATATTCCGCTATGTAATAGTATTACTCAAATACTTAAATTTAAATGTTGAAAGGTTGAACATTAATAAAGAATATGTTTGTTTGTACCTTCTGACAAACTATTAATACTTTAAAATTCCTCTACATATATACTTTTTAATATACCTTACAATTAGTCACACAATGTAAGAGATTATATGAATATTCAAGAAATGTAATTATTTGGCAATATTTATTTGGCAACATATCCCTTTATAATTCTAATGGCCAATTTACATTTCTCATTTTGTTCATTCAGTAGACTACATCATATAAAGTTGCCAAATTTATTCTTGACTAATATCAAAAATATTTGCATGACTTCCCTAATTTATAAAAAAGTTCATTTTACAGAACCCATATTTTTTAACCAAATAAATTGAGTACATTATCTCAGAAAAACAGTACAATTATAAGGAGGTTTTACAGTGGTGCTGAGACCAGAGTTTAATCTGAATATACCAATACCTGGATGTCTATTTTAGCAGTTAAAGGGACTCCACTGAGGTTTTTGACATAATGAGACTGGAAATAATTTTTTCACATTTATGTTAAATTTGATATAGATCTAAACCAAAAACTTGTGAGCATTAAATTTCTGAGAG